TTTATTTCAACTATCAAGACTTAATTGGGACCAGGCACAGTGGTGCACACCTGTAATCCCAGCAGCTCAGGAGGCTGAGGCAGAAGGATCACAAGTTCAAAGCCAGCCTCAGCAACAGTGAGGGCTAAGCAACTCAGTGAGACCCTGTCTCTAAATAAAACACAAAATAGGGTTGGGGATGTGGCTTAGTGGTCGAGTACCTGAGTTCAATCCCTGGTATCCCCCTGCAAAAAAAGACCTAATTGGGGTTCCATGAGAACTACATTAATCTCTTCCAAGGGCAGTGACCCCAGTGACCTAGTTATCTTCCTCTAGACCCCACCTCTGTTGGGTTTTGTGTTTTTTTTGGTGTACCTGGGATTGAACCCAGGACCTTGTACATGTTAGGCAGGTGGTCTACCACTGAGGTATATCCCCAGCCCCTTATTTTATTTTACAACAGGGTCTCACTAAGTTGCTGAAGCTGGCCTCAAACTTGGTGAACCTCCTGCTGCAGCCTCCTGAGTAGATGGAATTAAATGGGTGCACCACTACACCCAATTTAGATATCACTTCTTAAAGATTCAATCACTTCTCACATTGTCACATTAGGAACAAAGTAAGTTTCCAGTGCATGAAACCTTTTGGGACGAACCAAATCCAAAGCATGGCAGTAGCTAACATTATTGTAATGCATGCTTAAATATGATGGATGCCCATAAATTTTATGCTATGTGCTCGTTAACACAATAATACCAAAACAATAACCCTTTAATAGTCCCTATAGCCCTGTGTGATCTTGTTTTGCCCATATCTCTCAACCTCAGAGTACCATTTTTTCCTTTGTCCTCTACTATGAGCCACAGTAGCCTTCTCTCCATTCCTCAAACTTGCCAAGTTTTTTTTTGTGTGTGTGTTTTTGACCCCTTTGATTGAATGTTCTCTCTGACTTTAGTCTGGCTGGCTCTGTCTTGTTTTTCAGATCTTGGCTTACTTAATATTACCTTCTCAGAAAGGCTTTTCCTGACCACCTAATCTCTAGTTGCCACTGGTTGCTAGCTGTCACATCACTCTTTAAAATTTTTCTGAAAATCTTATTATCTGATATTTTTCATACACATATGTATGAAAAATATAGATATATTTATGAATTTAAGGTATGTGAGAGCAGAGACTTACTTTGTTTTCTTCAACACTGTGTCCCCATGCACCTAGAATGATGCCTGACGTGTGATCAGTGCTCAGTAAATATTTACTTAAAGAAAATTGAGGGGCTGTGGTTGTGGCTCAGTGGTAGAGTGCTCACCTAGCACGTGCAAGGCACTGGGTTCCATCCTTGGCACCACATACAAATAACTAAATAAAATAAAGGTGTTGTGTCCAACTACAACTAAAGAAAATATTTWAAAAAAAAAGAAAGAAAATTGAACTTTGTAGTCTTGAATTATCATTTCTAGAGAAAGACTTTATTTCCCCAGGGATCTAAATTTGTACTTAAAAAATTCCTTCTTGGATATTTCTATCTAAGTGTTCTGCAAATACCTCAAACTCAACATGCCCCAAACAAAAATAGTTATTCCCCGTCTCCTCTCAGTTACTCTTCCAAACCTTGCTTCTCTCTTTTTTTTGAGGGGAGTGGTGGTGAGGAGGAAGGGGTTGGAGGTTGGAGCCAGGGCCTTGCACATGCTGGGCAAGCACTCTACCACTGAACCACATTCCAAGCCCAACTTACTTTTCTTTGTTAATGGCATAATCATTAGTTTAACTAATCAGGTAGAATGTCGATTCCTTTCCTCTCTCAACTCCTATAACTTATGTCAACTCCTTTCCTCTCTCAACTCCTATAACTTATAACCATGTCAGTATTTCAACTTGATCCTTCCCTCCCTTACTACACAGTTATCACCACCACTTCATTTTAGGCCTAATTACTATTTATTTGGTCTACTGTTAAAACTGCCTAAGTGGATTTTTTGTTTCCCATCTCTCTCATATCCAGACTATACAACTTTCTATCCATCATGCTACTTCCCTATTGAAAACAACCAAAATCTGTCTGTCTCCCCCTCCCACTGCCCAGTGCTTTGGAAAGGCAAGGAAGCCTTTATTTCTAGTCTCTTAGACCCTGCTTGCTTTTCCAGCCTGACCTTTTACTATATCCCTACAGCCCTGTGCTCCTGCCCTAATACTGTGGCTTATCAGTCTCACAGATATTTATCAACATATGCCAGACCCTCCTATTCTGCACTTTTACAAGCCATTTCCTCCAACTGGAATTCTCCTGATCCTCTGCATCTTTTTTTTTTTTTTTTTTTTTTTTTTTGGCTCATATGGTTTTACTCATCTTTCTTTAAGACCTAACTAAATTAAAAAGAAAGTCTCCTCCAAGTAACCTTTCTAGGTCTTCCCTCAACCCTAAAACTACTCGACTACTGGTATAGGCCCATAGTACCTCAATTACTATTTTTAAAAACTATATAAAGTAAAATAATATAATAATAATCATTTTAATAATTTTAAATGTACAATTATTATACACTTAATTACTAATTATATATTATTATATATTGTATCCACTGGCATTAATCATATTCACACTGTTTTATGACAGTTATCATGGCCCTCTATTCTCATGTTAATGTTATCTGTTTCTCTTGATGGTAAACAAAAATTTGGCCTCATTTTTAAGTACTTGATTAACATGGATAAACATGAATGGAATCGGATAATCTCCTTTAATTATTCTGAGATTTCATACCTGATATCACGTCAGCATTGGGTGATCCTGCTCAGGTAACTTTGGGAATGTGTTCAGTTTCCTTCTTTGTATTTCTTTTTCCAAATGGCATTTGTTGGAGTTCATAAAGTCCTGGATTTTTAAAAGTTTCTTTGCTCAAATTCTCCTTTACTAGTTTTGTTTTTTAAATATCTTTTTAGTTGTAGGTGGACACAATACCTTTATTTTTCATATGTGGTGCTGAGGATCAAACCTAGTGCCTAGCACACACTAGGCAGGCGCTTTACTGCTGAGCCACAACCCCAGTCCCTCCTTTACTAGTTTTTGATTCTTTACTTTTAACCTAGCTTTTTCCCCTTGGCTATATTTATTCTATGAATATGTCAGTGAAATCAGGCATATTTATTAGGTAAGATAGACACAGTTCAAAAGCAGGTGTGTCTCAAAGTGTTTAATGAAACCTCAATAGAAATGAGATTGAGAGTTTAGGCTCCAATATTGTTGCTATTTCATTTCTGACCAAGTTTTGTCAATTGTGCTATATCGTTTGCTCTTTTCTGCTCTCTAAGCCTTTGTTCTGTGATGAATTCCTTGTAGGCTGTGCTCTAGACTGTGACATTGACTTTTCTCTCCAAACGGGTTTCGGAATTATCTTTTTATCAAATGTTCTCTCCTGCCTTTTCCCTTATAATCAAACCAGCATGTATTTTTAAACATCTTAGAATCTGAGAGTTAGAAGCATCCTTTGTGTTCATCTAATGCTTACTTGCAGATAAATAAATAAAGACTCGTGTTAATGCCAAAGGGTTCTCAGCCAGTAAGTGGAAGAAGAATCTATGACTTAAGAGTACCTGTCCATGAAAGGGAAATTACTCTCCTTCTTCTGATCTGAAGGATCTTGTTATCATTGCCTGAAATGTGCTGGTAATAGAAAAATATGACCCTCAAAACCCACATTTGTACTATGCCCTATCAGAGGGGGAAGAATATCTGGGGATGATCTGGGGAAAAAGGAAGTCTGCCTTGCCAGGCACAGGTACAGAGGAGGATTTTGATGAGTAGTGGACATTGAATGAACCAAAATAGGCTCTCAAGGCATCTTTCAGGGATAGTGGAAGGAAGTGACTAAGGTCAGGGATTATTTCATATGCAAAAAAAAGGGCATTGGAGCCAGCATGTGGCACCTCTGTAATCCCAGTGGCTTGGGAGGCTGAGGCAGGAGGATGGCAAGTTCAAAGCCAGCCTCGGCAACAGCAAGGTGCAAAGCAACTCAGTGAGACCCTGTCTCTAAGTAAAATACAAAATAGGGCTGGGGATGTGGCTCAGTGGTTGAGTGCCCCTGAATTTAATCCCCAGTACCAAAAAAAGGGGGGGCATTGGAAACCATCTGATATTATAGCCACATTTCAGGAGCAAGTTCAGAGATCATAGTAAATTTATGGCCCTTTCCTTTTCCACTCTAGTCTTTATCCACCTAAAATAAAATGTGAGAAAATCAAGTGACAGGAATAATAAGGTAAAAGACTTTCTACAAAACGAGTATGTGGGCTTGTATAGGTATAAAGGTGGTGAAGATGATTGACCATGGGTGTTTATTTCCCTTTTAATTCCATCTCCCATTAAACACACTCTGAAAGGGTTCATTGTGTCTTATTTTTACCTGATTTATATAGCTGTACCATCCTAGTTACTTTCTTTTTTCTYTTGCCACCTTGATAAAGGGGAGTACAATTCAAATAGTAGGATACTTAATGATTCTTTGGCATGAATATTCTTCACAACTTTAAGATCATGTGCACCCTTCAGTGTCATTCTGGTATAAATCTTAACATCTTTGTACCTTACTTCTCACATCTGTAAAAATCACAAAATAGTAATACCTACCTCATTTAATTGTTGTAAAGATTAAATGTTAATACATGTCAAGCTTTTAGGGACAGGTCCAGCATAATTTTATAAGTTTGAAAAGAAGATCATGTGTGTAACACTCAAATGTAGAGCTGTTATCAATATTGTTATTAACTGATATAGTCATACTCTTCATAACTGTTCATCCTACTAGTTAAATATAGTTCCTTTATGTACATTCCTTTTCAATGTATAATCCAACTAACCTTCCTCCTTGACATCCTTTACAATTGAAGAAGCTTCTCCAATTTCAAGCAGCTTAATGAAAAGAAAATTTATATATGGCAAGAGAAGGGTGATTTAATTTCTTCAATCTTTTGGAGGGTAGAATTCCTTTCCTTCATTAGGTATGTTTGTTTTTTTCTTTATGTTACAGGTGGTATGCAAGATTACAATTACATATGGGCCAACTGTTTTGAGATTACATTAGAACTGTCTTGTTGCAAATACCCACCTGCTTCTCAGCTTCGACAGGAATGGGAGAACAATCGTGAGTCTCTGATCACATTGATTGAAAAGGTAATAGCTGACTGGAAGCCTGGGGTACAGAAATAATGGATTAAATAAGGGAGAAATTTGGTTACATATGAATGCCAATCTTTATTAGGTATCATTTATTGTATCTGTTTTATTAGGATTGGAGATAATTTTTAGAGATTATTAAATCATAATCTCATACAACACATTGTAGTTCTGTCCCCCACTCCTAGTTCTCTGCCACATGGTGCTCCCTTAGCCTGTCTTAGAACACTATTTCAAACTAGATTAACCAAATTTGTACTACTGGTAGGGGAAGGGCAGTTGGATTATAACTCAGTGAGCAAGTGTGTGCTTGGCATGCTTTGTAGCCTTGAGTTTGATCCCAAGCACCAAAAAGCCCTTCCAAAAACTCCATAAATTTATACAATTATACAGGTTATTACAATGTCATGTGTTCATATTTGCTGGAGAGCCTTTACCACTGTATGAATCATGGATATTAGATCAATTTAAATACTAGACTAGGGATATAGCTCAGTTGGTAGAGTGCTTACATTACATGCCATGGGTTCAATCTGACCCAGCACCACCACAAAAAAAAAAAAAAAAAGCAGACAAGCTAATACAACTATTGGATATACCAGAAATTATACTTTGTTGAGAAAATTAGAAGCCTGACTTTGAAGAGAGGGAACTTCAAACGCACCTTAGTGCTTAGTGGAGTCCAGACATTTATGACTTTGGGATTTAATACTTTCTCATCTGTATTTTATTTCAAACGTATTGAAAAATATTTTGGAAAGATAAAAAGAGTAATCCTGACTTTTAGAAATTCTGGCATCAGGAAAAGAGGTGTTATATTCTCTTGCCTTCCAAATTGACTATGAACTTTGATTCTTATTTTTTAGGTCCACATTGGAATAAAAGGATTTGTTACAGATTCGGTAACAGGAGCTGAGTTAGAGAATGCAACCATATCAGTGGCTGGTATTAATCATAATATCACAACAGGCAGATTTGGTGATTTCCACAGATTACTTGTTCCTGGAACTTATAATCTTACAGTAGTTTCACCTGGGTAAGAATTTAAACTAGACTCTTAATTAAAATGTCAAGCCTCTAATTTATACAAAGACAGAAAGCTAGTCTTATACATGTTACTCACTGTATCTGGCTTTTATTTTTCCTTATTGTCTCATTTTTCTCCTTTTATATAAGAATACTATCATGGAGTGTTATGTCACATAGTGAAGCATAATGGTAAGATAGGGAGGAAAAAGAATTTTATAAGTTTGAAAAGAAGATCATGTGTGTAAAGCATTGCCTCAAGACTGACTAGATGAAAAAAAAAAGTAGAAGAAACTGGGGACTCTGAAAATGACATTTGAAGAATGTCATTAGCTTTCTAATATACCAGAGGAGTGGTATCCCACCTCCCTTGGACACCTTTCTGAAAATTCACTTTCATAAGGATTTAATTGATAACTTTTCATTTAATTTTGAAATTTACTRAGGAAAAGAGGTCAGGATGTCAGTTTGATAAAGCATGGCAAAAAATTAGATAATTGATGCCTTTGAGGAGTGTAGCAAGAGTTACAATGGAGTAATAAGCATATTCTTTCCCTTGAATGTGATTTTTTTTTTTTTTGGTAAGCAGTTGAGTGTATAGTACCTGAAAAGGTTGATAAGAAAAATAATTCTTTAAAATCTWAAACTAAGATTCTCTATTAATCTAAGATTCTCTATGATATAACATGCTAAAGCTCTTAAATTTGCACATTTATCTGTATTTAGTTTTGAGTTTTGATAGACCTCTAAGTGCAAGAGTAGTCAGAAGTACTGTTTTTAGATTGTTAAAGTATCGTGTGTCTTAACTCCAAGCCATCTCCTTTTTCAAATATTTTTTTCAGATATATGCCGTTGACAATTAATGACATAATAGTGAAAGAAGGACCAGCTACAGAGGTGGATTTTGCCCTTCGGCCAACTGCTGTTGTTTCATTAATTCCCGACACGACTGAGACTATAGCAACTGCTAGTTCTGTTGCTCTACTTAATGTTCCTCGTGGAACATCATCTTCTCACGAACCAATTCAGCCCAAAGACTTTCACCACCACCATTTCCCTGATATGGAAATCTTCTTGAGAAGATTTGCCAATGAATATCCTAATATTACTCGTCTGTATTCATTAGGAAAATCAGTAGAGTCAAGAGAACTCTATGTGATGGAGATATCCGATAACCCAGGTGTCCATGAACCAGGTAACTGGTATGGTCTTTAATCATAATTTCAGTGCCTCTCAAAGTTTTTGGTTTATGTTGTCATGCTTTGACCAGAAAGGTCATTTAACAGCGTGAAGCATAATGGTAAGATAGGGAGGAAAAAGAATTTTATAAGTTTGAAAAGAAGATCATGTGTGTAAAAAGCATTGCTTCAAGACTGACTAGATACAAAAAAGTAGAAGAAACTGGGGACTCTGAAAATGACTGCCACATGGTGCTCCCTTAGCCTGTCTTAGAACACAATTACAAACTACATTAACCAAATTTGTACTACTGTGGGGGGAGGGCAGTTGGATTATAACTCAGTGAGCAAGTGTGTGCTTGGCATGCACAAAGCCTTTGGAATTAAAAAACATAATCAAAAAAGAAAAAAGTATAGCCAGTATTTTGCCAGAAAAGAAGAAAATCCATTTGAGAGTCTATACTAGACACTGGATTTAATATGTACAGAGATTTAATTTCTTTTTCTAATAGTATTTTTTATATGCACATGTGTGTGTGTATGAACCTCATATGATTTAAATCTGCTCAGACATACATGTTAGTAAGGAAGATGTTTTGTAAGATGTAAAGATTTTTCTTTTGCCAAAAATACCTGTTAAATTTATTTATTTATTTWTTTTGAGGCAGGGTCTCACTAAATAGCCTCAGCCTTCTGAGTTGCTGGGATTACAAGCTCACACCACCACACCTGATTTGGCTCAGGATTTTTATACATATTGGGTATAAAATAGAAAGTCTGTGATAACTGAAAAGGGAAAAAAATCTTCCATAAAATTGCTTTGTTTTCAGGTGAACCAGAATTTAAGTACATTGGAAACATGCATGGAAATGAAGTAGTTGGAAGAGAACTGCTATTGAACCTCATCGAATACCTTTGTAAGAACTTTGGAACAGACCCTGAAGTAACAGATTTGGTTCGAAGCACTAGAATTCACCTTATGCCATCCATGAACCCTGATGGGTATGAGAAATCTCAGGAAGGTAAAAAATACCTGAATATTAATGGTAATCTTTAGGTTATCACATRGCATGATTACTTTGAAATAGAAGAGAATTGAACTTATTTCCTTGTAATTTCTGCCTGTTTTTATTCTTGTAAGTGGTTTTACCTCTTATATTCTTTTTTTATTATATTTTTTTATTTGCCAGTGGATTTTTTACTTTATTTGTTTATTTATATGTAGTGCTAAGGATGGAACCTAGGGCCTCACACATGCCAGGCAAGCGCTCTACACTGAGCCACAACCCAGTCCCTTTAGCTCTTATATTCTTGTAAGATGGGCCAGACTGTTCATTATGTGATCAAATTTATGTTTAATAATATTTTTATTTCATTTTGGCAATGGTTCTTATGTGTTAAAAATAGTACAAGATCAAATTGTTGTATTTTAAACAGTAGTTCTTATTATTGAATTAATAACTTTATTTTTAAGTGAAAAATCAAACCAGATATACTTGAAGCTCTGTTATTGACCCTGTTCTGTTTCTTAGGCATATTCTTTTTATTATTTTGGGGTATTGGGGATTGAATCCAGGGGCTTACCACTAAGCTACATTCCCAGCCTTTTTTTATATTTCACTATGAGACAGGGTCTTGCTAATTTTCTTAGAGCCTTGCTAATTTGTAGAGTCTGGCCTTGGACTTGCAATCCTCTAGCATYAGCCTCCTGAGTTGCTGGGATTACAGGTATGTGCCTCGGTGTTGGGCTCCTTACACATATTCTAAATCTGCTAAATTATTGACTTCCCATTTGTGGAGCCCACCTTTCCTTCCTCTAGGCAGGTGCACCTTTCCTGGGGGCAGTATGGTAAGGTCTTGGAGAGGTTTACAGACACTGTCTTAGGCAGAACAGTAGTAGAGTGAGAATCTATCTTTTCCTAGCCCATGATTCTGTAGGGAAGTTTCATATTTTCTCTTTTCTCTCTGAAGGTTTGATAATTTTAGTCTATTATAAACTGACAATGGCATTTGAGATTCAAATGCAGGCTAGGCTGTTGAAGCTTATATATAGCTATACAACAGGCCTTCTTGGAATGGAAGTGACTGCAGGCAATGGAARGTTGAGGGGAGGATTTACACAGAGAGGGTTGTTTGTTACACAGATAAATTCTCCCATGTAAAAGCCACCTCTGGTCACCTCTGGGCCAAGTGTCATATCTCTAATCTTGGGGTTATCAGAAAAGCTGTTGCATGCATTTGCTGTTTACTAATGTAGATAGATGTAAATTTCTTTTTTTAAAAGGACAGTTTTCAGAGCTTCTATGCAGTTTCTCTGAATAACTAACTTGAAATATGCCCTATAAATCTATTTGGATTTGGATATTTTACTCTCCTACAATTACTTCTAGGAAGTGATACTTGTGAGTAGAATTGGCCCCACACTATGAATATGCAGGCACATGACTATTAGCGCTGATCTGTCCACTGGGAGAATAAGCTGGTTGTTATTACTTAGATGCTGTCTTGAAAAAATAGGCTGGGATTAATCCTTACATATTATTCAGATTAACTCCCTAAGGAACTCATTCTTTATCAGCATCACAGATTCCTCCCACATGCCCTCTACCCGCTTTCTGAAAGGTGCAACTCTTTGCCATTCACATGTAATTTTTTTTTCTCATCTTAATGACAGAGTTCTCATTTCCTATTAAAATGGAATATGCGCTGTTAAGTGTAAATTGAACCTTTTTCTTCATCACATTAAATTTCCAACTGTGTACTAACTTTAAATTTGTATTATTTTAATGTAAGCTTATCAAAGTTTTCATTTGATCTGTTTCTTTACAATGTCTTAGTGAGCTGTATTAAAAGTACAATAGAGTCCCCCTCTGATCAGTAATACTCCCTCAACATTGTGATCATGTCATTATGTGTGGATTATTGACAGTTGAGCAATGCTTTTAACATAATTTGTGTAATTGGATTTTTTTTTCTTTCAAAGTATCACCAAAGGGCAGAAATGAAAGGATGGTAGTTTTACTGTTCTGTTCAAAACATCTGGAAGAGATATATCTTTTTTATGCTGTATTCTTAAAAAAAATCTATTTTAAACACAGTGGGATTGATAATAGTGATACCTGGTGTGTTCATAGTTACCTTTGAATTAAGATAGCTGAAGCAGTATGGGTTGGATTAAAATGTAAGTATCATGACTTAAATTTTATTCTTTTATCCCACAGGAGATTCAGGAAGTGGAATTGGCAGAAACAACAGCAACAACTTTGACCTGAACCGAAATTTCCCGGACCAATTTGTTCAGATCACAGATCCTACCCAACCAGAAACTATTGCTGTCATGAGCTGGATGAAGTCCTATCCATTTGTCCTGTCTGCAAACCTGCATGGAGGTATGGAAACTTTATAGTCCATTAATTAGTTCTTCTTGAGAGCATTTGAAAACCATGGTGAAATTTTATCTGTTTATAGTCTTAGGTTTTCTTAAAATGAATATTCTGTTACTGCTTCCATGGCAGATAGCAATAACGATATTTTCTCATTACTTTTTAGGCCAATTTCCTGACTTTTTCCCTGCCTTATTTTTCTCCTTCCTCCCCTTCTTCTTCCTTTTCCCTCTACAACCTTTTACTCTTCCACATTTCTCTTTTCCTTTCTCTTCTCTCCTCATCTCTCTGCTTTTTTCTTCCTCTTTCCATCCTCCCTCCTCTTCACCCCTACTCTCTTGTCATGATCCTCCCCCATCCTCTTTCTCTAGCAGTTCTTCAGATGTTTTATATTTATTTCTCACACTTGAAACTTGATAACATGCTTTGTCGTTCATAAACATCGAACACTAATAGATCCAAATGTTTAGTCTTATTTTCTTTCTAGAATTTCATAAACTCTTCAATGTAAGCTTACATTTTGACATTCTTTTATCTTTCACTTGCTATATATATATGTGTGTGTGTGTGTGTGTTTATGTGTGTGTATGTGTATATATATATATAGATATAGATAGATAGATAATGTATGTATGTATATATCATTAACTATGGCATAGTGACCTCGTTCTCATGTAGGAGGGTCCAAGCTTATGTACCTCCACATCATTCAGTCGGAATAGATCAGTTGAATAGAATGAGAGGCCAACATTGAAAATTATCATAAAGTTTAGCTACAATTGTGTGAATAAGGACAAAGGTATCAATACCTAAGAGAACTAAAAACATGTACACAAACTTGTACGTTAATGTTCATTGAGCATTATTTATAATAACTAAAAAGTAGAAACAACCCAAACAACCATTAACTGAGAAATGGATAAAATGTGATATAGTCACAAAGGATTATTATTTGGCATGAAAAGAAATCAAGTACTGATGCATGCAACAACATAGATGAAACTTTTTCTTTCTTTTTTTTTAGGRTGTGAATGAAATTTTAAGCACTAGCTGATGCAAAACAGTAAAACATTTTGTATATATAACCTTGTTATCTATAACTCTTCTCAACCATGGTCTTCCAAACAAATCCATAATTCACACCAACATAACTTAGGCTGAAGTATACACAGGAATAACAATGTATTCTTTGGGAATTTAAATAAGAACTCAAGCTATCTAAATTTGGAATTCAGGTCTTTGGGAAGTGAGAAGCTTGTACTAAGCAACTGTGCTATATTTCTGCTGCATCAAGTTATTTTGTACAATTGTACCTAAACTATCCTTGGTTTATTCAGCAAAATGTATTGGGTAAAACCATGAAAGCGTGCCAGCCAGTTAGGGTTCAGTAGCATGATTTTTATTCTCTTGCTATGAAAGCTTTATCAGGGGGAAAAATTAAATCAAGGAAAACAAGTCAAGATGTGTGGGCCTCATGTCCTTTAAAAATAAAACAAAAGCAAGTACCCACTAATTGGCTCCAATGTTAGTAGGCTTAATGGACCCATATCTTAAAAATTTAACAATGGTTTTTAAGGTGGGAGGGGGGAAAACATCCACTACCCTTTTGCAGAATTTAAATAGAGGGCAGCAGACATTCTTTACACCCAAAAACTATAGCAGCAGTTTAAATGTGACCAAGATAAATGTAGAACAGAGATGTTCTAAATACAGCAGAGCTCAGCAAATCTATCACACTAAAATCATGATTCCATTGTGAAAGAAAATGAACAAAAACTAAATAGGAATATTGAGATTTTTCATTTGAAGGTAATCTTAGTGCTATTAAGTTCACTTAATAATTTAAATATGCTAATTTAAATACCCAATCCTATTTATCTAAACCCATTTCAAACAAACAAATGTCTATTCTCTCCATGAATCAGCCAGTGCCCATTCATGTCATGGTTTGGAAATGGGAGAATAGGTTCCTCTTATATTGCAAGTCAGCTGATGTTTCTTTACATTTAAACTTTAACAAAATAGTAATTAACAGTAATCTTCTTTACTGTTAACTCACAAGGAAACATTTTGAAAACTGCAATTTGTTAAAGTTTCTGAACTAAAATGTAGAAAAACTGAACTACATAAATATTGAAAAGTTTAAAATTCCTTAATTTTTATTACTGGTACCACCTACCACAACTTATAGGGCAATATACCAGTGTAATGAAAAGAAAAAGAAAAAGACAAAGCTACAACAGATGAGGGACCTCAGAAATGTACATCTATTTGAAACTACATTGCATTAATCAATAGCTGCACTTTTTGCAAACTGTGGCTATGAAAGTACTGAATAAGAAAGGTTTCCTATTTAAGCTGCAGTAACTTTTCTGACTATGGATCATCATTCCTTTGTGGCAGATTTTTACAGTTCCTCTAATGCATTTGGGATGACTATCTCAAAGTGGCAGTTTTCCTGACAACTCCTTGCTCTCTCTGCTTCTAAAAAATGTAGGCCTTTTCTGCTGTTTTTAAAACCTTCTTTGACCATATCCACCACTTCCACCACCAGATCCATAACCACTACCTTAGGGACTGCCAGAACTTTTCCCACCAAAACTGCCCCCCCCTCATGGGTTCCTAATTTGATTGCTGTTGTACACTGTAATTTCCAAAATCATTATAGTTCCCACCACCAAAATTTCCTCCTTTGTTGTAACCATTATATCCTCTTCCTCCACTGCCATATCCACCACCTTGGTTTCCATATTCTGGTCCACCACTACCATAGCCTCCTCTACTGCTATAACCAGGACCATCACCCTAGTTGCCACCATCACCTCCAAATCCATTTTATCCACCATCACTTCCTCTGTAACTACCTCTGCTGCTACTACCTCGACCACCATAGCCCCTCTTCCACCAAAAGTTTCCACCACAGCTAAAGTTACCTCCACCACCTCCAAAGTTTCCTCCACAACCCATAAAGTTGCCAGATCCACCTTCATAACCTCTTTGTGACCCAGAAAACTGTATCTCCTGTTTAGAAAGGGCCCTTTGCACTTCACAATTATGCTTATAAATAGTGTAGTATTTCTGAACAATAATTTTGTCAACTGAAACATGATTATCAAAACTTACAAAAGCAAATCCTCCCCTTTTCCCATTTTGCCTGTTTTCCATAACTTCTATGGTTTCAATCTTGCTGTACTTTTAAAAGTAATCTCTCAAATTATATTCTTCGTATCTTCTTCAATACCACCAACAGAAAGTTTCTTCACTGTTWGATGGGCACCAGGCTTTACAGAATCCTCTGTAGAAACAGCTCTCTTTGGTTCCACTACACGCTCRTCAACCTTGTGTGGCTGAGCGCACATTGCCGCTTCTACCTCTTTAACACGAGAGTAAGTCACAAAATCAAAGCCCTGAAACATTTTGTTTGGGGGTCTCTCATTATCACACAATCTGTGAGTGTGCCCCATTTCTCAAAATGTTCTCTTAAACTATCATCTGTAGTTTCAAAGCTCAGACCACCAATAAACAGCTTCCTCAATTGCTCTGCTTCCTTTGGATCCTGACTGCCCCCCATGGTGGCAGCAAGGGCCAGAGTTGGAGTCAGAGTCGGGTGGTGGTTTTACCTCCATTTTGAACCATAGATGAATCATGAAAAACATTATGGTGACAGAAGCCAGTCACATATAATATGATCACATTTATTTGAAATGTTTAGAACAGGCAGATCCATCAAGACAGAAAGTAGTCGCCTTGGGTTGGAGTGAGAAGAAGAATGGGAGTGACTGGGGTTTCTTTTTGGAGTCATGAAAATGTTCTAAACCAGACAGTAAGTGATGGGTGTATAACCCTGTGAGTACTCTAAAAACCTTTAAATGGGTGAGTCATATGGTATGTAAATTATATCAATAAAGCTATTTTTTAAAAAAAGAAAGAGTGAAAACATAGCCCTGTGGACAACAGGGAAGAAACTTGGTGTGAACATTTGTTGGCCTATTCCAAAAGAAGCATTGCAACTGAGATTTGATAGCATATAGAGTAAACTTTCTTTTAGAATAATAGTACATATTTATGGATATTTAGATTTGAAATGTTTAGAACAGGCAAATCCATCAAGACAGAAAGTAGATTAGTAGTCACCTTGGGTTGGAGTGAGAAGGAGAAGGGGAGTGACTGCTAATGGGTTCTGGGGTTTCTTCTTGGAGTCATGAAAATGTTCTAAACCAGATAGTAAGTGATGGTTAAATATTATAGTTAAATAATATAGTAACCTTCTTTTTAGAATAATAGTACATATTTATGAATATTTAGATTTAGGAAGTAAATTGAGATTCTCTAAAAATTGCTTTTGAAGATTACCAGTAGAAGAAAAAATAATTCTACAGTTAGTAATCATGGGCTGTTCTAAGATAGTTGTATTGGAGTTGTAAAGTTACATCCTGGCTTGCAAAATAAATTTTTGATGTTTTGAATATCTTATGCTATGTTTGATAGAAAATATTTTTCATTTTGAATTTTTAAAAATATTTTCAGAATAATTCATTTGTCATGTTAGCTAAATCCAAAAATTCAATAATAGTTATATTTCAGGATATATTTACAGATATCCTATCAAGTCCTTGCATATAGTTGAGACACAGGCATATTCAATCATGTGGATGTTTTTCTTTCCATGACATATTTTGTTTTCTCACCTTAAGAATTCTTATATGATTCTGAAATCTTAGCACAGAAATTAAAAAGAACAAAATATATTTTTCTTGATTTCTTGATTTCTTTCTTTCTTTCTTTCTTAAGTAGAGGTAAAACCCTTCTCTACTCTTTTAGGTTTGTCAGCTGAAATTTGTGATTAACAGGTAATTAACAGTTTAACAGGAGGAAAGCATATGAATTTTGTTTGATGTTAATATTTTTATTGTGGCATAGGGGATGGGGGAGGCTTCATAGGAAAAAAGTAAAGCTCCAAAAGAAATAGCAGTTAGACTTTATCAATTATGTGATATGTTGTGAAAAGTGTCTAGTCAAAGGAAAGATATTTGGGCTTCTGGGGGCAGTAAATTGTAGGAAACTTACTGCGAAATACATGGGTAAACTTATGGAAGATAGGGCTTGTTTTAGTAAGATTTGTTTGTGTACACTTGTCTTGGCTTTGACTTGTTGTCTCTAATGGTAAGAATGTTTTCTTTTTCCTTGTACCCAGAAGGTAGCTTTCTCACCAGAAATTTATACCAGGCACCTAGGCAGAAATGAGGAGAGCACAAAGCTCTTCCTATATCTGCTGTTTCCCAATTGTCTTCAACTCAAAATAATGAGCCAGAGTAATATATTTTGAGTGCTATATTTTGATCCCCTTCACTGCCAACTTAACAATTTAGAATTTTGAAAGATATAGGAAAAAGTAAGATTTCCTTTTTATAAATTTTGATACCAATTTTTTAAAATTGTCATGAATTCTTGATGAACTGTTTTAAAGTGAACAATTCCAGTGTCAATTAGTACATTCAAAATTGAAAAATCTGTTCCAAAACACCTCCAGGACCCAAATGAAATGCCATACCTGTTAAGCAATTCCTTCCCATTCTCCCCTCCCTTCAATGTTAGGGAACCAACCATCTGTTCTCTCTCTCTAGATTTATCTGTTCTGAATTTTTCATGTAAATGAAACCATACAATATTTATCCTTTTGTGTCTGGCTCCTTTTATTTATTTATTTTGTATTGAGGATTTTTATTTTTTGCTCTTATATCAAGGTTGGTTAAGTAAAAAAAAATACTAATGTCACCTCTTCTAAGGCTCATTCTCAAGGCTCCTGTTATGTATTCCCTCCACTGAGAAGTGTTTTGGATCCCCCACCTGTGTGTACCCATAATTACTGCTATAAGGGTTTACATAGGATGTTAATTTCTATCTTTGCTGAGGGCAGAACACCTTGAAAGGAGATATTGTTTAACTTGTGCCTATACTAGGTACATTTGCTACATATTAGGCTCATGGGACATACCTTTAATTTCTAAGCACATGATGAAGCTCCTTATTATGAAAATCATATCTTAATCATCCTTAAATCACTTGCTTAGCACTCTGTCCAATAAGTATTTGGTGAATGGATAAAATCTTTATAGACTCTTTTTTTAACAGACTCCATATTACAATTCACAATCATCTTCAATGGAGAGAAATTCTCTATATCTAACTTAAACTCTGTGTCCTCTTTTCTTGTATTCTGCATAAATATTGAAAAAATGGAATTCTCTTCCTCAGGACTCATGGAGCTTAGCATGAGTCCCTTCTTAGCAGAATGGTGCGCTCTTATTATATTGTATAGAAGTTTTAACGTTCAACAAGACTTATAGGCTCTTCAGTCCTAGAAAGAATACTAGGCAAGCAAAATAGTTTTGGAATGTTATCCACTGTTTATGTTCTCCACTGGAAAACAGGCTTTGTTCTTAAAATTAATAGAAGAGTTGATTTGGCTTTTCATTCCGTGTCATATGACAATGAAATCAACATTTTCATGAAAATAACATCATTTGGGAAATGTAGCACAAGTAAGCAGCTAAAAAAAATTGCTGTCAGCAGTAGTGAACTCTTGTTTTCTTTCAAAAAGAAATAAAATTCTATTCAAAGCAAGTACATGCACATACTACATCCTAACTGTTTGCTATTCAGCAGAGTCAGGGACACTGCTATATAGCAATCTATACAGTTCTTATGACCAGCTGATATGTGGTAACTTGGAATCAGTATCCCCCTGCAGCTTCTTCATTCATTTGACCGAGTTGGTCCATTTACCTATACTTTTTTTTTTTCATTTTTTGTACCAGGGATTGAACCCAAGGGTACTTAACCTCTAAGCCACATCCTCAGCCCTTTTTTTGTAGTTTATTTAGAGACAGGATCTCACTAAGTTGCTTAGGGCCTTGCTATGTTGCTGAGGCTGGTCTTGAACTTGTAATCCTCCTGCCTCAGCCTCCCAAGTTGCCTGGCTAATATTAAGTCTTTTTATGACCCCACTTTTTTTAAACTTTAGAAAATTAGCCACTTGAGCTGGGTGTGTTGACACATGCCTGTAATCCCAGAGGCTCAGGAGGCTGAGGGAGGAGGATTGTGAGTTCAAAGCCAGTCTCATCAACTTAACAAGGCCCTAAGCAACTCAGTGAGACCCTCTCTCTAAATAAAATATTAAAAAGGCCTGGGGATGTGACTTAGTGGTTACATGCCTCTAGGTTCAATCCCTGGTACGAGAGAGAGAGAGAGAGAGAGAGAGAGAGAGAGAGAGAGAGAGAGAGAGAGAAAAGAAAATTAGCCATTTGAAAGTAGTGAATAGGAGTTGATGCTGATTTTTTTTGTTTGAATTTTTTTTTTGAATTTTTACATATGGGCCATGGATCCAAGATAAAATTCCATGTTTTTCAGATGTTAAATTTTAGTCAGAAGAGGTGCTAAAGTCTCTTGTTCTTGTTAGAGCTATTTGGGGTTTGAAAGAAAAATTTTTTCACCTTATTTATTTATTTTTTATATGGTGCTGAGGATCTGAACCCAGTGCTTCACATGTGCTAGGCAAATGCTCCACCTCTGAGCTACATAACCCTAGCCCAAGAGCACAGTTCTTTATACTGTTTATTTAATTTTTTTTCCTGTGAATGTATGTTAGCATTTATTATTACAGGATTACTTCCTGAAATGAAGTTGAATATTCTATTCCCTTTATTCCCATTCCTTTAATGTAGCATATTAAAAAAGGGCAAAGATGAATGGATCAATAGAAGGTATAATAAGTGGACATGTGGACAAAGAAAACAATGTGACTATAGGGAAATAAAAGATACAGTTCTGTGGAAGGCTCAGAGTTCTGTGTAGCTCAGAGGTTTTGCCTAAGAAACACCCTAACCACTTTATGCCTTGTGGGATGCTTGAAGGGAGTTGATATCCTTTACATGTTCTGAAGTATCACTTCTTTATCTTAGGTCAGAAGAAGTCATACGATTAACTCCAATTGAGTAATTTCTAGTAGCACAATAGGAGAAATTTTTAGTTGTTGGGGGGAGAAGGGGGTCAGCGCTGGCTCTACTTTCCATAAGATTCATAAGTCATTTAACTTCCCTAGTTTAGACTCCATATCTCCAAAATGAGGGGAATGGATTAGTTGGATCTCAAAGGTCTCTTATTTTAAAACTCTATTAAAATGTCTAAATTTTACTAAAAAATTATCAAAATTTGCTCTATTTTTCTGGTCTTAAATATTATAAAAATAAAATTGTTTAAATTATACCTGTATACGTCTAGTTTCAGCTTTGACAGGTAAATTACAAGAGTAAATTCAGATAAATTCCCAAGACATTTCTAGTGAAGGCACCTTTTAGGTATCATGCATAGCTATTTACCTTCTCACTTGCCTACTTTGATTTTTATTTAGGAAATTGCTGTATTTTCCTTTTTCYAGGTTCCTAGGGATTGAATCTAGGCTTTGCACATTGCTAGGCAAGCGCTACCACTGAACCATACCCCTACTTTTTTAAAAAATATTTTTTAGTTGTCAATGGACCTTTATTTTATTTATTATGTGGTGCTGAGAATCAAACCCAGGGCCTTACACATGCTAGGCAAGTGCTCTACCACTGAGCTACAAACCCAACCCCCATACCTCTACTTATTATTTTTCATTTATATTAATATTAGTCATGGTGAAATTTTATTGATTTCCTGTCTTTGACAGTATTGTGAAAAACTTAACTTTATCTTAATGATCCATCTTGAAACCTGTAACATAATGTATTTCCTCTTTTCCCTTATAGGTTCTTTGGTGGTAAACTACCCTTTTGATGATGATGAACAAGGGCTTGCCATTTATAGTAAATCACCAGATGATGCTGTGTTTCAACAAATAGCACTTTCTTATTCCAAGGTAGGTTTGTGTTTGAGCATCAAATGCTATAGAATTAATTCATTTAAAAAATGCTTTAAAATAGGTTCTGTAAGTCAAGTGCTTTCTTTTTTAAGCCTTCCATGACTCCTTTCAGTCAGCCTTTGGCCTTTTTATTCTGTTTCCCATCTCACTTTTGGACATGCTATATGCATTTCTCCATTAGCCTTTAACAGGTAATGTCTTTTTAGTTATGGTTTTTAGAATAGTACCTGGAATATATACATGCTAGTTTATTTCATTTGACAGACATTTAAGTTGTAAGTCCAGTAAATGAGGCTAAAGTGGAGGATTGATGAACTACAGGTCTAGAGCCAAATGTAGCCCACCATTTGTTTTTGTAAGTTTTATTGGCATACAGATATATAGTATATACATACTTTTATAGATTGTGTAGCTGCTTTTTCCTTTAACATCTGAAAATAAGTCAGTGTAATTCACCGTGTTAACAAACTCAAGAAGTAAAACCTTGTAGCCATCTTAGTATATTTCAGAGGACAAATTGAGTAGTTGCAACAGAGACTTTTGGATCTGTARAGCCTAAAATTTTACTGTCTTGCCCTTTACAGAATAAAAAAATTGCTAATGACCGGTTTAAGATATTTTAAATCCTATAGTAGTATATAGCACTGGAAAGCAGGCAGAAGTTTCAGTGTCTTCTAAATTTCCTGTAATGAACATAGATTTGTTTACCAACCAGAAATGTTAAAATTTGTGTGTGTGTGTGTGTGTGTGTGTGTGTGTGTGAAAATTTCATTTAAAAATATTTCTTAGAAAACATGTTCAAAGTTGGGGCTTGGGTAGGCATATTAATTTTAGTTTTGGATCTACTGATTTAGTCTGTGATTTATTAATTATATATAATGAAGATTATTACTGCAACTCTTTTAAAATCACAGCCTTTGGGCTGGGGATGTGGCTCAGCGGTAGCGCGCTCGCCTGGCATGCGTGCGGCCCGGGTTCGATCCTCAGCACCACATACCAACAAGGATGTTGTGTCCGCCGAGAACTAAGAAAAAATAAATGTTAAAATTCTCTCTCTCTCTCTCTGTCCCCCTCTCTCTCTCACTCTCTCTTTAAAAAAAAAAAAAATCACAGCCTTTTATCATTCCTCCTTCTTCATCCTCTCTGAGTGAACATTATGAGATTATTCAGAGTTGCTAATAGAAGAGCACTGCTGTGGATTTCACCTTAAGGATTTATTGCCTTCTGTTTGGGCATACCATTTTTTTGGAAGGACACAAGTAAAGTAATAGCAGAAGAATGGATATTGTTTCAATCATTGAAATCCAAATTAAGTGATCAGATTCTGCACATATTCCCATCACATTCTGTGTTAATTTTCATGATTTTGCTTTTCGACTCCATTGAGCTTTATGGTTCCTTAGCTTTTCTTTCTTAAGACAATTGAACTTTTTGATTTCCCTTTCTACCCAGCCTGGGCCCATGGATGTATTTTCAGTAATGGTGTATCTGGTACACCTCTTTGATATATCTGCCTTCCCAATATCCAATCCTCAGTAGTTGCCACCAGCTCTCTTCTCCATCCTGATAAGTGTAACCCAGAATAGTCATAGAGTCATGGCAATTTGCTGCACTCCATATATATGCTCTCTAACCCCAGCTGAGCCTTCAATCCTAGTTGGAAGCATTTCATATTTGGCTCTTCTGACCCTATGGTGGTTCTAAGCCTTCATCCTCTACTCTCGGTAGATCACTTTGCATTGAGCTAAAATACAACTCTGAGTAACTTGGTATGAGTTCATGTAGATTCTGCCTTTTCCATTACTATTTGTGTGTGTCCTACTCTTATTCTCGTTCATTTCTTGATCGCACTGCATCCTGCCTTCTCTGAAATCTTAAGCCTTAGTATCTTCTATTAATGGGATAGGTGATCATTAAAGTCCCCAGTCTTTACTCACGGCCTTTTTTTCCCCCCTTGGCTAATAAGCAGCTTACCTAAAAATAATATCTTCCATTAGCCTTAATAAACACCATAAAGATACCTTTCCATAATTTTTTATCCTTGCGCTGCCAAATTTCTCAAAAATAAATAATTTGGGGAGACTTCTAAGTGGCCAAAGACAGTAATGGATATGTAGCAGTCAATCTCCCAGAATTTTTCCCAAAATAATATAAAATGACTTTACAGCTACCAAAATTCTGCCCTTGGTATTACAAAAGATCCTGAAACTGCAAAATAACTGTGAATTTAAAAAAAAATCAGGAAATCCCTAMATGATCTGCCATGTGCTGGTTTCACCTTTATCCTAGCATGCAGCTTTGTGGTAAGGAAAAGCTGACTGTGAAAATCTATGGAGAAGACAGAGAGGGGGSCTAATGAGGGTGGGCTTAAAGGTGATTTGGAATGACTGCACATTACATATGTTCTAGAGCCAAAAATATTAAAAAAGGAGCTGAGCAGATAAGAGCACTGAAGTACTAGAAAGAGATTTCAAAATGCACACAACTTAAAGGAACTGGTRTGATTTAAAGGGATAAGCAGTTTAAAAGGACGAGTACATTTAAAGGGAAATCTTCCAAACTCATAGCTCCTGTTAGAGGAAGAAAACAAAAAAAAAGAAAAAAAAAGAAAGAAATAATAAGATACCCTTTGGCAATTAGATGGTGAAGAGGAAAAGAAGATGAAAAAAGGGGTAAATGTAGGGTTTTACAAGTCAGAAAAAGACCTGTAAAGTTCAAGGCCTTATAATTTTACCTTTAACACCCAAACAAAAAAAATCACACTGAAGTACCTTTACTAATTATGAAAGAAAAGGGCATCATTAAACTAGGAATCATGTAAAATAGCCCAATATCATAAAAATGAACAAGAGGAAGATAAAGTTCATGAAAACTATTGCAAAAAGTCAGGAAATAAAATTTTACACATATAAACAAGGAAACCCTCTTATTACCAAAAAGCAATCAAGAAGCAGAAGAAAATTATAAGTTGGCACTCCAAATAGATTAATTATACCCAAACATGTATTGAGAATATGAAACAAAATCTTTACTACAAATAGTCAAAAAATGAAAACAAAGGAAGAAGGGGACAGACAGAATAAAAGAAAGTTGATGGTGTCCAAATTATCTATTTTTTTTGACATTTGTGCTTTTGGTGTAATATCTAGGAAATAAAGGTTATTCCTATTTTTTCCTAAGTATTTATAGTTTATACATTCAGGTTTATGATCCATCTTGAGCTAATTTTGGGGTACAATGTGAGGAAAAGGTCTAGATTCATTCTTTTGCATGTGGATTTTCAGTTTTCTCAGTACTGTCTTTTTGAAAAGATTATATTTTGCCCCTTGGTTTGTAGAATAAGCCTCCTAGAACCATTAATATATCATGTTATCCATCAAAATGACACTTTGAAGAAAGTCAAAGTGTTATTCGTTACTGTCTTAGAACTGTGGTGTCCAGAATTAGCTTTATACTAGATGATCCATTAAGATGCAAGAAGAATGTTACATATTCTATTTATATTTTTAAATATATGCTTTAAATTTAAAATTTTATCCACATTTATAATATACATATTATAGAAAATGTATGACTGGCATTAAATAAACACTCAATAAGTAGTATTTATTATGATTATCTCAGGGATTATTAATTTATCCTCATTTCCACATTTCTGAAGCCCCTATCATCTATTGAAATGTACCTGTGCTGTGTCTTATTCTATTAGGTCTATAAAATTATATTTCCTCAATTCTAAGATGCCATCAATTGTAGTACAGATCATTGATTCAATAAAAGTTTTAAAACATAATATGCATATTAGTCCAATGGTACACTAATATATATGTGTGTGTGTGTGTGTGTGTATAATATAATTAGATGGATGGATAGATAGCTATTGACGGAAACGTAGATAAAGATAGAGGCACAGAAGATCATTGTACAAGCCTTTCCTGGAAAACCAGAAAACAAAAGAGCATATGTACAAGCTGGGCACAGTAGCACATGCCTGTAAAACCAGCAGCTCTGGAGACTGAGTTAGGAGGATTGCAGATTCAAGACCAGCCTCAGCAATTTAGTGAGATCCTGTCTCAAAATAAAAAATAAAAAGGACTGGGGATGTAGCTCAGTGGCAAAGCATCCTTAGACTCAATCCCCTCCCTGCCAAAAAAAAAAAAAAAAAAAGCAAAAGCAAGCATGTGTACAATTATTACCGAATGTTATGAGATCACCAGCCTTTAATTGGTATATTAAATTTCTGGAAGGGGACTATTCATATATTTTAAATTTAAAAGGTTAATTCTCAAGGTGGTGGGGAAATGGGAAATTATTATTCTTTTCTTCACACTTTTCTTTTTTCTATTTCCAATAGAAAGAAGTGAATTTTTGATCATCTCTCAAATCTTAATTTCTCCCAGGAAACTTCCCTTGCCATTTTAGTAAGAAGTAATATTTCTGTCCTCTGGATTCCAGTAGCATTTCTTTGTGTCTCCATGGCAGTTTTTCTTCCCCTTCATTGAATAAGCAATTGTACATGTACTAGATGCCAGACATTGGGCTAGATGCTGAGAACACAAAGACACAAACTGTTTCAAAGAGTACTGACTTAAGGGAAGAAAATATATAACCTGTTGTAATAGGATAATTGTACATTGTGCAGGCAAAGCACAGATGACCCATCTTAGTTCCCCTATATGTCGAGGAAAGCTGCTTATTCCACATTGTATGTGTATTGTCTTTTCTTTCAAGTTCCTTGAAGATATGAGATGAATGTATGAATATGAGCCAGTTTTTWAAAAAATTTAGTTAATAGATGGACACAATACCTTTATTTTGTTTATTTATTTTTATTTGGTTCTGAGCATCAAACCCAGTGCCTCACATGTTCGAGGCAAGTACTCTGCCACTGAGCCACAACCCCAGCCCTGATAATTTTGATTTTGAAAAATAAATTCACATAGTCAAACTCTGGCATAGAAAATTATACATTAAAAAGTCTCAATGCTTCCTATGGCCCCATCTCCTCACCTCCTACCCCCTTACATAACCTATTGTAGTCACTTTTATTATTTTCCTATATCTTTCCTATTTTTTTTTGATGGGGACACTAATAAATACAAATAAAGATTCTTTTTTCTCTCCCCCCAGGAAAATTCCCAGATGTTTCAAGGCAGACCTTGCAAGAATATATACCCTAATGAATATTTTCCTCATGGAATAACAAATGGAGCTAACTGGTATAATGTCCCAGGTAAAGATTATCAAGGCCTTAAAACTTGGACTTTCTACTTTTCTAATCTTTTTTAATTTTGAGAGAAAATCACTCTTTTAAAAAATATTGTTTAGCTAGGTTGCAATGGTATATGTCTGTTATTCCAGTAACTTGGGAGGCCAAGGCAGGAGAATCACAAATTTGAGGTCAGCCTGGGCAACTTAACAAGACCCTGTCTTAAAATAAAAAATCAAAAGGACTGAGAATATACCTCAGTGGAAGCTCACCCCTAGGTTCAATTCCTAGTACCCCTCCGACTATTTGTTTAAATAGTTTAAAACATTCAAATAACCTTTTCAGCTATTTTGAATTTGGTGCTTTTTGACTTTTGAGCAAAAGTAATGCACTTTAACTTAATAATAAGTGTTGTACTTGACTTCTGGCTATTGTAAAGAACCTTACATTTACCAGTAGGAAGAATATAAGCTACACTTGAATTCTTCTTAAACATAGAGTCCAGATGTTTTACCTGGACCACAAGCATCAAAGAGCCCTCCTATGAATGCCATTATTGTTATTCAGCCAGTGCAGATCCAAAATGAATTTGGCTTTTTTACTAGGTACTCATCCTGCCTTTTAAGAACTGAACTATTTAGACCTTCAGAGTAACTTATTTTAATTTTTTTGTCCTTTAGGTGGTATGCAGGACTGGAACTATTTACATACAAATTGCTTTGAAGTAACTATTGAACTAGGTTGTGTGAAATACCCATTTGAGAAAGATCTGCCAAGGTTTTGGGAACAGAATCGAAGATCTCTAATCCAGTTTATGAAGCAGGTGACTATTCAGGAGTGAAGTATAGTTTCTTTCAAGAGCAAGAAGATTTTCGTGTGGACACATGGTTTTCATGTAGTGATTTTAGAATATACCCTTTTAAATTTCAACTTGTTTTAGTGTATTTACCCAATCTTTGTATTCCAATTTATTTAGTACATTTATGTAGAAAATTCATGGATGCAAATAAGTTTATTTGTTTATAGGGAAAAACATTTAAAGGAAGTAATTAAATAATCGAGGTGCAATGGTATGTGCCTATAATCCTAGCAACTGGAGAAGCTGAGGAGGGAGGATAGCAAATTTGAAGCCAGCTTAAGCAATTTATCGAGGTCCTAAGCAACTTAGTGAGATCCTGTCTCAAAACAAAAAATAAAAAGGATTGGGGATGTAGCTTAATGGTAAAGTGTCTGTGGGTTCAATATATAGCTCAAAAAAAAAAAAAAAGAAAGAAAGAAAGAAAGAAATTAAGGTAGTGACATTTTTTTCTTAATGGCTAATGGTCACTTTACCCTGACCTTATCAAAGGCCAACATAAAGTGTTTGTCAAGTGATATATGGGTTATAGGGTAAATATTTTTATTCTTTTTCTTATTGCCAGTGATTTACTGTGAAATGATTAATTTCCTTTTGTTTGGATATGCATGGTAACTATGGTAATTAGGGTAATCTAATACATTGTACTAGTACTTTTCTATTTTAATCATTTTCCTAAGTGGCACGGCATAAAGTCTGGGGGTCGGTACTAATATTTAAAAACATTTTATTCTGAAAAAATGTAAACATTCAGAAAAGTTATAAGACTAGTATAATAAACACTCATTCCTACACCTAAATTTAACAATTTTTAATATTTTTCTGAGTTTGCTTTTTATATGTGAAACTCATTTCCACCCAGTTTTGGTTAAACTGTTTCAGTATAAATTGGAAGTGCTCAGGTTTTTTACCCCAAAATATTTCAGCCTCTGTCTCTGGTGTATCATCTCCAAATGCCATAACCCATTACCAAAAATTAATAGTAATTCTTTGATATTACCTAACACCTAGTCCATATTCAAATTTCCACACTCATCCCCAAAATGAATTTTATAGCTATATTTTTATATTGCATTTATTATTTCTTTTTTACTTTCTTATAGTCCTTCCATTTTTTAAAAAAATGATGTTTTCTTTTTAAAGAGGCMAAGGCCTATTTTCTTGTAGAATATCCTATATTTTGAAATAGAATGTTCCAAAATTTAAACAGTGTTATTTATATTTTCATGATATAGGTAAATCTAGCCTAGAAAAAATTAGCCTTTAGAGACTAAAATGTTTTGTTTAGTGGGCATTTACATTTAGCCTTACTCTGAATCCTAAATTCCTATTTGTTCCATTTGTTTACATTATTAYAATCTGTTAATTTGGATATGAGCTCCCAAAGTAATTAGATGATGATCTTTACCATTAAAATCTGGTATTCTTGTCCTTTATCCAGGTTCATCAAGGTGTTAAAGGATTTGTCCTTGATGGCACTGATGGCAGGGGCATATTAAATGCCACCATTAGTGTTGCTGAAATTAATCACCCAGTGACTAGTTACAAAAATGGAGATTACTGGCGTCTCTTGGTTCCAGGAACTTATAAGATCACAGCATCTGCCCGAGGGTGAGTGATGAATGCTTCAGAATTGAGGGATTCGGATAAGACAAACCTAGTTCCATTCTGGAGGATTATTTCCACAAAAGTCCTAGAGAGCCTGCTAAGCAACATAAAGTTTAGAGCTGGTTTCACTACCCCCTAGTGGCAAAGTGAGTACAGTAACTGTCAAGTGTAAGAAATCTGTGGAATTATTTACCTTTATCTTTCTCCACTCTGATTTCCTGTTCCCTGCTCAGATGCAGAAGCCATCATAAGGGATTTCCTTCACTATTGGTATCAATTCTGGAAAGTACCTGTTATAGAAAAAGAAAATACCCCTGTTCTGCTGCATACTGTAGTCACACTGTACTTTACAATGATTCTCTTTCAAACAAAGCCTTTTAAAACTCACACTCATTTTTTACTGTTACACATTTGCCTTAAAGCTTCAGTGAAATTTTCTCCTGATTGCAGGTTCTCTAAGTGAGGCCATTTTCAATATTTTATTTTTATAGGTTTTCTTTCACAAAGACTTACTTATTAAATTTTTTTTTTTTTCCCTTAAAGCCTGGGTCTCACTTTTTGGCTCAGGTTATTCTTGAACTCCTGGGCTCAAGGGATCCTCCCACCTCAGCCTCTCAGGTACCTGGGAATATAGATGTGTATGTACCATCACACCTGATGTAGATTTATTTATTTAAAAAAAAGTGAATTTATGACTTTTTAATTGAGGGGGGGAAAAGAAACTCTAATTTTAATTTTCTTCTACGAATGACTTAGAATTGGAACCACTTGACTGTTTAATCTGAAATCTCTTATTTTTACCCATTATACTACTTTTCAAAATATTTTTTGTTTTGATAAGTGTATGAACTACCACAAGACAGTTCCCTCTGAGCTTTTTTCTTTTTTTAATTCATTCTTTTTAGTTGTATATGACAGTAGAATGTATTTTGACATATTATACAAACATGGAGTGTAATTTCCCATTCTTATGGTTGTACATGATATGAAGTTACACTGGTCGTGTATTCATATATGAACATAGGAAAGTTATGTCCGATTCATTCTTCTGTCTTTCCTATTCCCATCCTCCCTCCTTTCCCTTCATTTTCCTTTGTCTAATCCAATGAACTTATTCTTCTCTCTCCACCCTGCTTATTGTATGTTAACATTCACATATCAGAACATTCAGCCTTTGGCTTTTTGGAATTGTCTTATTTTCACTTAGTATGATGGTATACAGTTCCACCCATTTACCCACAAATGCCATAATTTCATTCTCTTTGTAGCTGAGTAATATTCCATTGTGTAACCAGTATAACTCCAATTGTGTACAACCACAAGAATGGGGAGTTATACTCCATGTGTATATAATCTATCAAAATACATTCTACTGTCATGTATAATTAAAAAGAACAAATAAAAAATTTAAAAATATATTCCATTGTGTATATATACCACATTTTCTTTATCCATTCATCTGTTAAGGGCACCTAGGTTAGTTCCATAGCTTCTGGCTAACTTATTTCTGAGGAGTTAGTTTAAAGGCCCATTAGAGTAAGGGTAACTTTGTGAAGACATCAAGACACTTATAGTTATTGTTACCTTTTTATTTTTTAAAAGGCTTTCAAATATCTGATGGTCCTTAAATGGAGGAGTTAGAACCTTACACTAATGAGTAATGATGTCTTTTCTGTTTTTCTTCCTTTTGGCAGTGTTAGATATAACTAAAGCAGTAGGGTATCTGAGAAGTAGGGCAACAGTGATGTGTTTGGTGGTGAATGTTCTTAAGCTCTCCATCTTTTCACCCACATACCCCGATGGCAGACAAGTGAACTTAGATTCTAAGAGACATGGGTGTCATCCACTGCAAGCACAAACTTTTATTTGAAGTCATATTTTTAATCTTAACTCATTCATATTTGACATGAATGTCTGGTTTTTTTGTTAATGTTTTAAAAATCAAATTATCTCCAAGTTAAAAACTTGATTCTTTTGGGAAACAATTTACATTATTCCAAGGATTCATGTGTCCTCCTTTCCCAATACTTGGATACTCCAGCTGAAGAAGCATGGCTCTGATCTGTCTGCTTTATTATAGGTATAACCCAGTTACTCAGAATGTGACTGTCAAGAGTGAAGGTGCTATTGAGGTCAACTTCACACTTGTTCGATCCTCAACAGATGGCAACAAGGAATCAAAGAAAGGAAAGGGGGATAGCACCAGCGCTGAAGATGCGAGTGACCCAACTACTAAAGAGTTTGAAGCTTTAATTAAAGACCTTTCAGCTGAGAATGGTTTGGAAGGCATTATGTTAAGCTCTTCCTCAAATCTGGCTCTTTATCGATACCATTCATACAAAGACTTATCAGAATTTTTGAGAGGACTTGTAATGAACTATCCACTTATTACAAATCTTACCACGTGAGTGTCAACCTTCTTATTACTGCCTTTTCTTTTTTTTTAAAGAGGTTTTATTCAGCATCAGCCACCTTGAACAGGTCTTATAATTTATTTAGACATATTTGGGAGCTAAATGTACAGAGAGCTGGAGTTTACTTATTTTGCAACAGATAGTTGATGGAGATCTTTTAAACAATGAATCTATGAGGGACATTGGAGGAGAATTATTTGTTAGATTAGCAATGAATGTATCACCCTGAGGCCTGAGAAAATGTAAATTTACTTTTCTAATGAATGCTTAATTTTAACTAATTTCAAACCCTTTCTGCTTTTCAGCTGCCATTCACATACTAACTAAATATTATTTGGTTTGTTTTATTTCACTAGTGACAAGGGAAGGAATTTGGAACTATGAACACACCTGTTAGGACCATGTGTAACCTTTTTCTCAAATCAGAAAATGAAGTGATTACTATCATTTCCTGTACGCTTGTCTTTATTTACAGTCAGTTCCCTGAAACTTTAGATACATATTTGATTGAAGCTTCTTGGAAAAATATGTAGTACTAGTTTATGTAAAACTGACAACTTTGAGAGCTTTTTTCCTTCTTTTTATGGCACTTCTCTGCATTACCTGTTTTATTATAGTAGGTCCTCTTCTGGTCTTGTTACAGTTAACTCCAAAAATGTTTCCATGATTAGTTGATTCTTATGGTTTGTCTGCTGTGGGTGGGGCCTTCATGTTTTGCTTTGAGCTTATAGTTCTCTTTTGCATACCTAATTAACGTTATCTAGCCTTTTTTTTTCTATCTCTCTTCATTGGTCCTTTTTAATTTTACCAGAAAAGCTTCTGAAATTCTGATTTATACTGTTTGTAGATACAAAGTGTGATGTTTACTTTGGCAATACCAATTACCTCCCTTCCTTGACTAATTCTTGAATCKTTCTGCCTTGTTCAGGTTTTAAAATCATCCATCTTAGTGCCATAGAGAAGGTATAGGCTTTCTTATTTTAAAATGATCCCCAAATTTGGCATTATTTTGCTATCTATTTAGCTTACATTTTTTTTAAACTTTTATTTCAAGATGTGCTTTTCCATTAACTATTTCCCCCAAATGGGGCATACCTGATGGTGGTAGGGGACAGGAGTTTTAGGTGGAACACCAGTCTACAGGCAGTATCATTGATTGGCATCATGAGAAGGCAATAATCTTTTATTCTAATATCCTTTCTCAATTTAATGTTAGTACATTTTCTTGTCTAACTCTAGCAAATCTCCTCTTATATAAAAGAAAGAAGGCCTTAAGCTCACAGCTCTTGAGCAAGCAGAACATTTCATCATTGTTTTGTTTTTATTGAATTATTTTTATTTTAAAACTGATGTGGTATTTACAGTAGAGTATAAATTGTCTTATTTACATATATATGAATTTAAAAGGGAGGTTCTCTACATATATTTCAATATTTCCATAATGAAAATTTCAGTGAGTTAACTTAAAAGACATAGATCATAGAAGATGGGACAAATGTTGTGAAGATGGTAGAAAAATGACCAAATTTGGAGGAATGCTGAGTGAAATCAAATTCCTTCTTAAATCTGATACTATTTTGCTTGTATTTGACTTTCTTTGGTCAAGGAAAACCAATTTTCCTAAGGTTTTCTGACACAATGACTTCTGCTGTAAAGACTTTTTAAAAGCCTTTTCATGTTTTATTTTCATTTTAAAAATACATAAATCAGTATTAATATTATAATGCTTCCTAACTTGCTTTTTGTTTCTGGCCTTTGAAAGTTTGGGACAGAGTGCTGAATATCGACACATCTGGTCTCTTGAAATCTCCAATAAACCCAATGTATCTGAACCTGAAGAACCAAAGATTCGTTTTGTTGCTGGTATTCATGGAAATGCTCCAGTTGGAACTGAACTGCTTTTGGCTCTGGCAGAATTTCTCTGTCTGAACTACAAAAAGAACCCAGCTGTTACTCAAGTAAGGGATAGTCTGTTTTGACATGCTTTCAAAGGAAAAAACTACCTGGGTGCAGTGGTGCATGCCTGTAATCCTAACAATTTGGGAGACTGAAGCAGGAGGATTGTAAGTTTGAGGCCAGCCTCAGCAATTTAGTAAGACCCTGTCTCATATTAAAAAAAAATAATAAAGAATATAAAAGTCTGATGATGTAGCTCAGTTGTAAAATACCCCTGGGTTCAATTCCTAGTCCCAGTGGGGGGGGGGGGGAGTTCAGTGACATGGATGTCAGGATGCCATTTAAAATTTTTATGTTTCTTAAATTAGATTTTACACTGAGTACATTGTGTTACTCTTTTAAAAATGAATGATCTTTGTATATGCTCATTGTTAATAGTATCTTTCCATTCTTTTCTTTTTATGGTGCTGGGAATTGAACTTGAGGCCTCACACATGCTGGGCAAGCACTCTAGCACTTAGCTACATCCTTAACCCTCTATTATATATCTTTGTATATATTAAGAGGCAGAGAGGAAAAAATTCTAAAAGTTGGCATTTAGTTCTTTACTCCTTTGTTTAAGCCAAGGTACCCTTCTAATTTTTACTTATCGTTTTATATGTTCTAACTTGAGGAACTTCCACTTTTAGTTGCTTATAACTAGAACATTATATTGGAAAATGTAGTAAAAGTCATAGTTTGTCTTTTGATGTAATACATAAAAATTGTTGGACATACTGGCTGCTAAAAGACTTTACAAAAGGTGGTTTGGCATTGTCTGCTTTAGCCATTAAGGACTACAGAAAAGAATTTTGATTTAGGTGCTTAGTCATGTAAGTATAAGGAGCCTAGTTTGGTATTGTCTCAGGGAAAAGAAGGAAAGGGTGCATTATTCTAGAAGACTCATTAATTGGCATTGACTTTAATGAATTTAGGAAAGGGGAAAAGAAGTAGTATTTGTTTAATATATACTGTGTTCAAGGTACTATATATTAGATACTTTACATATATCATTAATTTAATTCTTAACTCTGTGACAATGATTATCTCCAATTACAAATGTAAACTGATTTGGGTATTTGTTAACTTATAGTATATGTTACAGTTAGTTGTTGGTAGAATTGGATTTAAACCCAAGCATAGAGTCTATTTTGGTGTCCTTTGTCCTGTAAGTCAATAAATAAATAAATAAATAAATAAATAAATAATACAAGAACTCTAAAGCCCCATGGTTTTCTTGTAACATACTGCCTTCCCTAAAAAGAAATTTTGGAAAGATTCAATGTCATGATCAGGATCAGAAGCGACCTGTATAACTAGATAAGCTGAACTTAAATCAGCCTTGCAAAAATTATTTTACCAAAAAGACTATTGGTGAGTTGCAGATAGTATCTCAAAGATATTTTTCTTTTTCTTTCTTTCTTTTTTTTAATGAGAGCATATCTTAGTGGTTTTCAACCCTGCTCTGTGATAGGAACACCTGGGTGGTTTTAAAAAATATCAATGCTTGGACTCCATCCCCAGAGGCATCAGTACTTCTTTAAAAACTCCTCACATTCCCAGAACCTTCAACCCCGCCCCCTCAAAAAAAATCTACTTAGATTTATGTTGTTTTGTTCTGTTTGTGGTACTAGGGATTGAATTCTGAGCCTTTTGCATGCTAGACAAGTGCTCTACCACTAAGCAACACCTCCAGCCCATGTTATTCATATATTTAACCATATCTGTAACCTACTGGTCTTATGGTTATAAGAGATGACATATCTTAGGTGAACCACCTAACTGAAATTTCAAAACTCCTAGTTTATGAGAACTTGCCTTACTGATTTAATTGGACTTGAATTGCATTCATAAGTTGAGATCACTTTAGAATGCTTTTGTCTTGAGTTAAGGCTCAAAGAAAGTACCCAGAGAGTCCCAGTGGCTCAGGAGGCTGAAGTAGAAAGATCACAAGTTCGGGGCCAGCCTCAGAAACTTAACGACCCTGTCTCAAAATAAAAAATAAAATTAAAAAAGCTGAAAGAACTGGGGATRTAGCTCAGTGTCAAGGTATCTCTGGGTTTAGGGACTGGGGTTGTGGCTCAGTGGTAGAGCACTTGCCTGGCATGTGTGAGGCCCTGGGTTCAATYCTTAGCATCACATATAAATAAAGAAATAAAGTAAAACATCCACTGGGAACTAAAAAATAGTTAAAGAAAAACAAAAGTATCCCTGGGTTTAATCCACAGTACCAAAAAAAAAAAAAGAAGAAGAAAATAAAATAAAATATATACATACCTGGTAATCTGCCAGTGGTAAAACACAGGTTATACTTTAAAAAAACAATCTTCCCCAGGGAAGAGATTTATGAACCAATGAATTAGAGTCTCAAATATTTTTAACGTATAATTATTACCAGAGTAAATAAGTCAAAGATCACTTATTCTGATTTATTGTTAGAAATTTTAGGCTTTGGATTGTAAAATAAACATTCTGTGTTCTAATAACTCTGCCATCGTAGCACAAAAAAGTCACATGTAAACAAATGGACATGATTGTATACCAATAAAACTTTACAAAGGATAGAAGGCAACAGACTAGATTTGGGGTGCAAGTATTGTTTTCTGACCCCTGTGATATGTCATCAGGAGATCCCTGGGAACATTTTACTTAGTGGTTTTTTGCTTCTTTTAAAATTTATTTGGAGCAAAAGGAATTTTATTTTACTTTACATTTTTTTCAATTTAAATTCCTTTTAAATTAACTATATTTAAAATGAACAATGAGGCTCTCTATTTGAGGCACAGGAAAGTATCTGTTGATTATACATGAAGCTAATAAACTTATTAATTTCTGTTTTAGCTGGTTGACAGGACCAGGATTGTGATTGTTCCTTCTCTAAATCCAGATGGGCGAGAGCGAGCGCAAGAAAAAGAATGTACTTCAACGATAGGACAAACAAATGCCCGTGGAAAAGACTTGGATACAGATTTCACAAGTAAGACTACTTTTTACACCATTAAAGTACTTTGGAGATAATTCTCTTTCTCTTTGCTAGGAGATTGGTTGATGCCATTTTGTTGGTTGGTAATGGAGCACTTTCATATCTAAGTTATGATTGCAAGGTATAAATAAATACACCCAAAAACATTTTGAACTTTTCTCCTTTTTCATATGCAAAAGTAATTCAAGTTTTTAAAAATAGAAATTCAATCGATATCATTGGGGTATTTCATCACTGGCTGTGTTGGATGTGTATTCTGTCCCTCTTCCCTTCCCTATATGTATACTTACACACACATTGTCATATGTGGATTTTGAGGAACCTGTTTTTTATTTACTTGAATGGGATTGTCAGCTCTATGTATTTTTACTCTGTAACTGGTGATTGAACCCAGGAATGCTCTACTGCTGAGCTGCATCCTCAGCTCTTTTTATTTTATTTTTTTGGTGATCCTCCTACCTCAGCTTCCAAGTTGATGGGATTATAACTTTTTTCATTAAATATATGATTAACATCTTTCTATTTAAGTACTTATAGACCATTTTCACCATTTTTTCCACATTTTTTTATTGGTGAATTATAGTTGAACATATTGTTAGGATTTATTGTTACATATYCCTACATGCACACAATATTACAATATAATTTGGCCAATATGACATTTAATTTATGGCATTGTATACCATTAATATATGGCAATTCTTTAGTTTATTCATCYATTTTCTACTGGTGGATATTTAATATGTTTCTATTTTTTGCTTTTACAAACAAAAAACACCTATTTTTTAAAAAATTTATTTTATTTCAAAGGTAGGTGATATATTTTCTAAGTTGGTATTGTTTTTATTGTTGTTGTTTGGTACTAGGGATTGGACAGGGAAACTTTACCGCTGAACTATATCCTTAGCCCTTCTTATTTTTAATTTTGAGGCAGGGTCTCTCTAAGTTGCTGAGCCCCTCACTTACTTGCAGAGACTGGCCTCAAACTTGCAATCCTCCTGCCTTAGCCTCCCCAGTATCTGGGATTATAGGCACCCACCACCATGCCTGTCCCTAAGTTATTTATTTATTTAATTTATTTTGGTACTAGGGATTGAACTCGGGGGCACTCAACCATTGAGCCACATCCCCAGCCCTTTTTTGTATTTTATTTAGAGAAAGGGTCTCATTGAGTTGCTTAGTGCCTCACTGTTCTGAGGCTGTCTTTGAACTCCTCCTGCGTCAGTCTCCCTAGCCACTGGGATTACAGGAATGCGCCACTGTGCCTGGCTTCCCTAAGTTACTTTTAAAAGCAGGATATGCACATCTTTTTTCAGTAAGAATTTTCTTAAACTTTCTTAACATAATTAATTATACACATTATCCTGAAGTATGTAAAACTCAAAGTAACCTACCTTCTAGAATGTGTATTTCTTATTTGAGATAGTAGTTTATGGAGAAATAAGTATTTACAAACTTCGTAAGTCAGCATTTTGATTGTGTTCAAGTAGAGAATAATTTTCTGAGATACACTAAAATTTAGAACTTGGTATTTTATATTTGATCTTTCTTTTTTTCAGATAATGCCTCCCAGCCTGAGACTAAAGCCATTATTGAAAATTTAATTCAAAAACAAGACTTCAGTCTTTCTGTTGCTTTAGATGGTGGTTCTGTGCTAGTCACATACCCATATGACAAGCCAGTACAGACAGGTATGATCAATGTTATTTCACATATATACTTTTTAAGCATAGGTGGAAATTCCAAGTAAAATAATGTTCCTTCTAAATTTTTTTAAATGATGAGTATTTGAGCATATTCTATGATGAAATAGCTAACCCAAAAAAATTGTATATATATATATATATATATATATATCAACAGTTCAAACAGTTACTTGAAGATGATAGTTCAGATTTATGAAGATATAGCTTTATTGAGTTTAGCCGTCTTGTTCAAACATCTGTTCAGTTCAGTATATGATCATTTATTAGGCAATTATTATATGTGTAGATATTCGGAATAAAAATGCGAAAACAACACAACACCTGCCATAAGAAACTCTTGTATACAAATCAAATATTAACAGTATAGAATTGCCCTCCCTTGCCTTCAAACTTGACTGACAGGTTGCAATTTTGTGGTGAGTTGAACAGTTGCTTGTTTGTGCTGTTTTTACTACATCTTATAAGGGACATTGTTATTGGAGGCAGTTTGTGCTGTTTTTAGTACAACTTATAAGGGACATTATTATTGGGCTGCAGTTTGCCATACCAAAACAAATTTGTATTTTAGCCTGTAACATAACTTCACCATTAGTACCTTTGAATGTAAGGATGATGATTATCTTCTGTGCCTGATTATCTTGGGCTAAACAAAATCATGTAACTAATTGTAATTCCTTAGTAATCTTCAGCATGGTGCAAGATTTATTAAAAGAAAATGAGTTATATTTGTGATATTGGATTTGGACAAAACTCTTTTAGATTTCTTATGATTTTTTTCTTTTTATAGTGGAGAACAAAGAGACTCTGAAACATTTGGCATCTCTTTATGCAAATAATCATCCATCGATGCATATGGGTCAGCCCAGTTGCCCAAATAAGTCAGGTAGATATTTTCTATACCCTTTGTTACTAATTGTTGTTATGGTTGCTTTGGGGAGGGTCTTGCCTTATGATCTTATTGACCCTACGTCTCTCAATGATTTTATAGATGAAAATATTCCAGGAGGAGTAATGCGTGGAGCAGAATGGCACAGTCACCTGGGCAGCATGAAGGTATGCTTTATAGAACGTAGTTAGAATAAGAATTATGAATATTGGCCACTGAATGAAAGAATAGGCAACTTTTCTGATATAGCAAGTGAATGTCATCTGTCTCATGGCTTTCTTTTATTTATTTATTTATTTATTTATTTATTTATTTATTTATTTTAATGTTGGTTGTTCAAAACATTTCTCATGGCTTTCTTGACATGCCTAGGCTTAAATTAACCTGACAGTAATCTTTTTTCCCCTCTGGCCATTGTAACAATTTTTAACTGTATGACTTAATGACATTCATTATACTTACATTGTCCAACCATCACCATATCTATTTCCAAAACTTTTTCATTGTCACAAACAGAAATTTTGTATCTGTAAGCAGTAACTTCCTATTCCCCTCTCCCCACAGCCCTGGTAACACTAATATACTTTATGTCTCTATGAATTTTACTATTCTAAGTATGTCATATAAGTGAACTCATACAATATTTAACCTTTTGTGTCTGACTTCTTTCACTTAGCATGATGTTTTTAGAGTTCATCCATTTTGAATCATGTGTCGATACTTTATTCCTTTTTATGGCCAAATAATGTTCTAATCTATGTATATACTGCATTAATTTATTGATTCATGAGTTGATGGACATTTGGGTTGTTTCTATCTTTTGACTGTTGCAAATAATGCTACAGTGAACACAGGCATGCAAGTGTCTGTTTGATCCCTTGTTTTATACCAGAATGGAAGTTGAATCTTACTAAAAATCTATATTTAACTTTCTGAGGAACCACCAAACTTTTCCACAGCACTGAACCATTTTATATTCCCACCAGCAATATTCAACAATTCCAATTTTTTTATATCCTCCCCAGCACTTGTTACTTTAATTATAACTGTCCTAACTGGTGTGAAGTGGTATCTTGTTGTTTTGATTTGCATTCCCTAATGACTAATAATATTGGAGCATCTGTTCACATGCTTGATGGCCATTTGTATATCTTTTGGGGGAAAATATCTATTCAGATCTTTGACCCATTTTATAGTTTATTCGCTTATTTATTTATTTTATTTTGATACTGGGGATTGAACCCAGGGGTGCTTTACCACTGAGCAACATCCCCAGCCCATTTTTTATATTTTATTTTGACACAGGGCCTCTCTAAGTTGCTTAGGGATTTGCTGAGTTGCCAAGGCTGACCTTGACCTTGCAGTTCTCCTGTCTCAGCCTCCTGAGCCTCTGGAATTGCAGACATGTGCCACTGTACCCAGCTCTTTGACTCATTTTAAAACTGTATTGTTTATCTTTTTGTTGTTGACCTATGAGGATTCTTTATATATTTGCATATTAAATCCTTACCAGATATATGACTTGCAAATATTTTCTCCCATGTTGTATGTTGTGTTTTTAAATTTCTTGATCATGTCCTTGGATGACAGAGAGGTTTTTTTTTTTTTTTCCATATTTTTCCCTTCACATTTTTTCACTGGTGCATTATAGTTGTACATAATGATGAGATTCGTTGTTACATAGTAGTACATGCACACAGTATAACCATATAATTTGGCCAATATCCTCCCCAGCACCCCCCTGACATATACACTTCTCCCACCCCTGTGACCCTTTCCTCCATTCTCTGATCATCTTTTGCTTTTCATGTGATCACCTCCCCTCTTTCTTTTCCTTTTTCCTCTCTGGCTTCCACATATGAGAGGAAAACATGATCCTTGATCTCTTGAGTTTGGCTTATTTCAATTAACATGAGGGTCTCAGGTTCCATCCATTTTCCTACAAATGACATAATTTATGTTTTTATGGCTGAATAAAACTCCATTGTGTATGTATACCACATTTTCTTTCTTTATTTATCTGTTGATGAATACCTAGACTGGTTTCATAGTCTGGCTATTAGGAGCTGACATGTCTTCAACTCATTATTATACAGAGTGTTTTATTTATTTATATTTGCTGTAAAATGCATTACAGATTCTCTGTTTACATCACCCAGGTTTCCTTTTTATTCCGTTTATTATCTTTCTTATCAATTTGCCTGTATTTAATTTTTACTTTATATTCCAGGATTATAGTGTCACCTATGGCCATTGCCCAGAAATCACCGTATACATAAGCTGCTGCTACTTTCCTAGTGCAGCACAACTCCCTTCCCTGTGGGTAGAAAATAAAAGATCTCTTCTTAGCATGTTAGTAGAGGTGAGTCTTTCTTTTTCAACTAAGAAGCATACTCCCAGGAGTATGTTCAACCTTTATCAAAATATTGTTTTTGTCTTTTATAAAAAAATTATATTTTTTATTTTAAATACCACAGTACGTAAAGAGATTTGTTCATGTTATATTGTCTAAATAGATGTCATGCATCCATATATCTGAAATCTCCTATAATTTGACCTTGTGAGATGTTGCACGTTCTTCAATCTGGCTGTCACACAGTTCTTGGAGTCAGGGTACTATGGTGGGAAGGCATTGGAAGATTGGGTCCTAATGCTTTAGGCTTTGACTATTATACCAGAGTTGTCTTTTATTTTATCTCTATCCCTATGACTCTGAGCATTAAATGAGTAACAAATGTGATCAGGGTCAGTGGGGAAGAAGGAATATATTTCATTTGTTTGTCTTTAGTCATGTCTCATCTTTTGCCTCAGAATATCTGGCATGAAACATAATTTTTAAAAAATTTTGTAGTGGTAGATGGACAGAATGCCTTTATTTTATTTGTTTGTTTGTTTTATGTGGTGCTGAGGATAGAACCCAGTGCCTCGTGCATGCTAGGCGAGTGCCCTGCCACTGAGCCCCAGCCCCAGCCCCAACATGATTATATTTTAATCATTTTTTTTAGGTTCACAAAGGAGTACATGGATTTGTCAAAGATAAGACTGGAAAACCAATTTCTAAAGCAGTCATTGTACTCAATGAAGGAATAAAAGTACACACAAAAGAGGGAGGTTATTTCCATGTACTATTAGCCCCAGGTGTCCATAACATCAATGCCATTGCTGATGGGTACCAGCAACAACATTCACAGGTAAGAAACTCAAATTGAATAGTATTATGTAAATTCTTCTTCTTAATAATACTTCTATTTATTGACACATGAAAGGAATAAATAAATAAAAAGTGTGACCACTTCTTGATTTCGGTAACTTGTTATCTTTTGGTAGTCCCTTTGGCAACAAAAGGGAAATTTTTATAGCATTTTGTATACTTCAGATGACAATGAATCATTTCTGTGGTTTGCTTTAAAGGCCTTGAAAATGTGGCAGGGATATAATATGCCTTAAGTAAACTTTTTCATAATGTTGCATTTTCTCTTTCTAGGTCTTTGTACATCATGATGCAGCTAGTTCTGTGGTAATAGTCTTTGACACAGATAACCGGATATTTGGTTTGCCAAGGGAGCTTGTGGTAACTGTAGCAGGTAAAGAAATTTTGACTTTTAGTACTTGAAGTTAGAACCAGTCTTGCTATTTCAATCTGAGAGTGGATCACCTCCATAATCACTTGCAGCTTATCATTTTTTCTAATGTCTCCTTATCTAATCATGACTTTCCTAAATCGCTGTTTTCCCATGTTCTCCTGGCTTGCCCCCTCAGGTGTCACCTCCACAGAAAGGTCCTTTTGATTACCCTATATCACATAGTATCCATGTCACTATCTCTTCCCTATGTTTTTTCCATCATAGCACTTAGAACTACTTGCCATCATATTTTTATGTGTGTGTGTGTGGTGTATACATATCTGTGTATACACATATGTGTGTGTACATATGTATACATATATTTGTACATATATATTTATACTCATTTGTCTATATTCCATCTCTCCCACTAAAACATAAGCTATGGGTAGCATGGAGTTCATCTGTATCCTTAGAACAGATAGTAGGTTTTAATGAAAAGTTGTTGAATGAATTTGCCTTATATTTGCCTTTGACTTACATTAGTTCTGGTTTTCCAAGGTCCAGGAAAGAGGAAATGTTTGGGATTTTTCTAGGTTTAATTTGCACATTGTTTGAATTACTGAAAGGTAAGGAAGAAAAAAAAATGTGATAAAATAATACTTAGCTGTTTTTTCTCTGTATAACACAAAGAACCTTGGTTCATTTTTAAACACAACTTGGACTTGAAGCAGAATTACTAAGTTTTATTATAATATGTATATGGAAGAGACCCTTGGTGGAAAGAAAGTGGTATATTAGGAATGTGGTACAATCATAGATCCTATAATGGAGCACTGAAAGAGTTATTAGCTTGAACCAGATAAAAATGTGAAAAACTTAGTGGTTAAAGATATAGTAGCTAGGATTCAGCCATGCTTTTAGTCTGGCTCTGCCACCCATTAGCTATTATTCTATTACTATTGTAACTAAAACTCTTATTTTGATTTTAAATAAAGAAGAGGTTTTGGATGAAATGAAAATTCACTAGAAAGGAAAAGTGGAAGTCAATGATTGATAGATAACAAGCAGGTTGCTGGTCTAAGGGTGTAGCTCAGTGGTAAAGCACTTGTCTTGCACATGTGAGGCCCTGGGTTCGATCCTCAGCACTACATAAAAATAAATAAATAAAAATAAAGATATTGTGTCCATCTACAACTAATATATATATTTTAAAAAAGAAGGTTGCTGAACAACAGTGTAAGTTCATTGTCATAAAAATAATGTGTGTACATACACATGCATAAATGAAGATCAGGAAAAATATGCACTAAGGTAATTGAAGATGACCTCTGGGTAAGAAACATAAAGATGTGGATGTTTTTCATACTGGTTTTTATTATTTTCACTTATCTGTATTTTCTAATTTTGCATACTATACATGTACTGCTTCTACCATAATAAAAGGTGGTTCTTACATACATGAAATAAAAATAAACAAGGAACATATTTTTTAAAGTGCCATAATAAGTAGCTGTTTATTCATGTTCACATCCCCACATAATGGTTTTTGTTTGGCAGGAGCCACCATGTCAGCATTGATCCTAACAGCCTGCATTATTTGGTGCATCTGCTCAATCAAGTCCAACAGACACAAGGATGGCTTTCATCGGCTCAGGCAGCATCATGACGAGTATGAAGATGAGATTCGCATGATGTCCACTGGCTCCAAGAAGTCGCTCCTAAGCCACGAGTTCCAGGATGAAACGGACACTGAAGAGGAAACATTATATTCTAGCAAACATTGAAAAATACACTTTGCACATCTCCCGGCTTAAGTACCAAGCAAAATTACAGTTCCTCTTGGGAGACACTGCATTAAGAGGAGAGACTGTCTTGCTTCTTCAAAGAGCTTTGGGAAGTTAACCTGCTAAATCTGTATTCTCTGTGAATTTCTCTGGCAGTTTTGAACTTCCCTTCCTTAAAGTACTCTTAACCTTTTTAAAAAATCTGATTTCTATTTATGCAGCAGAGATGGGACAGCCACTTTGTTTTTCTTCTTAATTTAAGACAAGCTATTTGGAGCTTATGTAATAACAGCATAAAGCCAACTAGTGGATGTTGTATTTTGCACACCAGGTGTTTACTAGTGGCTTTAGCTTTTTTTCTTTCTTTCTTTCTTTTAAAGGCCAAAAGAATCCAGACACATTAAAGCAGGGACAGCAGTCAGATTCTGACATAAAGCTTTAAAAACTCAAGGTTTTTCTCAACCTACTGAGAGTACTCTTCTCTAGTTATTAGATAGCTGGAGTTTCTCTTATTCAGGTTTAATGGATTGAATGATTTTTAAACATATGTAACATTAGGAAATGAATAAATGGGCTTCCGCATTTGTCTTTCTACCTGTTTCCAGGCTAGATCAGAACTGGTGGCCTGTGCAGTAAGCAAGATTTTACTACCTACCTCTCTTGTAAGGTTTAGCAAAGTTCTAAATATCCCCATTTTAAGGGAGAACTCATTGACTTTATTGTGCAAGGTCTGAATGTCCACTTGAATGGAGCTGAGAGGGAGATCTGGCAAAAGGTGAAACTCATGTTGCCTATCTTTTAACCTGCTAAAAATCCACAGGTGCTGCTGCTTTTATCTGTGAAGCACTAGTTTATTCTAGGAATGCCTAATTCTTTAATATTTCCTAAATTTGAACCTTTTTCTATGTTGGACACCTATGGTTTTCAGATGACCCGGCCATCTACAAGATCTGAATTCTACTGAAAATATCTGGAAGTGTGGAAGAGACCTACTTGCACATTCTTAACCTATCTTGAACACAAAACATCTACACTTTGTGCTCCAGCCTGAGCCTTCACTCAGTAATAGCATACTATCATTAAAATAGCTCGGCCAGTCTTGTTCACATAGTCCTCTGCAAGTGATGGGGTTCTTTGTCCTAATGTTTCATTTGATGGTCTCTTTTTTTTTTTTTTYCCYKRMCMWYCMAWTTTKKTWAAARKTYMWTTKRAARSYTTT